CAATGTTCGATTAAGGTGATTCAAGATGCGTCGGAAATATAACTCAAAAGGCTGTAGCTTTGCTTTAGATAATGTCTTCAAATTGGATCATCTACTTTGTCAAAAACTGGTCTCAAGATGAGGGTGAAAATCGGTGCAAAACTTTTCAACTTGAAAGTTGATATATGTTTCATCCCTTTAACTCATTTCTTTATCCAATTGACCTCTAACACTCTCGAATCTTCATCACAAGGTTAGAAACAAGTTTTGAGTATTTGCACTTTAGTCACTGAACTTCCACTTTCTTCTATTTTGATCATTTCTCACTTGTTTCTCCTTATTTTCTCTACATTCATTACTTGTCCTGCAAAACATAAATTCACATAGAATTAAGCTATGTTCTAACATATTAATCAACAATTCTTCATATTTTAACAGTAAGATAAGTGTGTAAAAATGCACTTATCAGTTACCATGACCTTATTACGCTCACCTTCCGTATGGTTTTCCCATTCATCCTCCTTGAATCCCTGCAAAAGAGAATTATTCATGTTGGGAAGGGGATTGTTAGCTCTCACCAAAGCTCTCTCACACTCGAGTTTTCTCACATAAAGGCTCACTTTGGAATTTTCTCTTCGCTCTGATTTCTCCCTCTCTGCTCTCTTATATGGCTCTACTCTTTTTTTATCACTCTCAGCCACCTCACTCTTTTCTCTCTTGCTCTCCTTTTTCCTCTTTTGATTTTTATTTTCTCGCTCACGCTTTAATTTCAATTGGTCCTCTTGGACTTGTTGTGGTGTCAAAGGTACAAGTGTAATTGTTTTGCAATCCTTCTCCAAGCTGTATCGATTTGTGAATCCTTCATGTTTCACTCTCCTATCATACTGCTACGGCCTTCCCAACAACAAATGCCCCGCATGCATTGAAACCACATTACACATCACCTCATCATTATATCGCCCAATGCTGAAATTTATGAAAGCCCTCTTGGTAACCCGTATTTCCCCCACAGTTATTCAACCACTCCAATTTGTATGGTTGTGGATGCCTCTTAAGAGGTAACCCCAACTCTTCTACAAATGTCATGCTAACCACATTGGTACAGCTCCCTCCATCGATAATCAAACTACACACCTTACCCTTAATATGATACCTAGTGTGAAACAAGTTTTCCCATTGCTGCTCCTCTTCATCCACCTTCACTTGTGTAGTAAGAGTTCGCATAACCACTAACGACTCTGCCACTGAGTACTCCACACAAGTCTCACCCTTAATATTCTCAAACTCAGGCATACTGTCACTCCTATTCCCATCATCCGACTCAATTTCTCCAT